TGATGCTACTGCTGATGCTGCTGCTGCTGCTGATGATGATGCTGCTGATGCTGATGCTGCTGATGCTGCTGCTACTGCTGTTGCTGCTGACGATGATGCTACTGCTACTGATGCTGACGCTGCTGCTGATGCTGCTGATGCTGCTGCTGCTACTGCTGCTGATGCTGCTACTGCTGATGCTTCTGACGATGATGCTACTGATACTGATGCTGCTGACGATGATGCTACTGCTACTGATGCTGCTGACGATGATGCTACTGTTACTGATGCTGCTGCTGACGCTGCTGCTGATGCTGCTGCTACTGCTGCTGATGCTGCTGACGATGATGCTACTGCTGTTGCTGCTGACGATTATGCTACTGCTACTGATGCTGCTGACGCTGCTGCTGCTGCTGATGCTGCTGATGCTACTGCTGCTGATGCTGCTGACGATGATGCTACTGCTGCTGATGCTGCTGACGATTATGCTACTGTTACTGATGCTGCTGCTGACGCTGCTGCTGATGCTGCTGCTACTGCTGCTGATGCTGCTGACGATGATGCTACTGCTGTTGCTGCTGACGATGATGCTACTGCTACTGATGCTGCTGACGCTGCTGCTGATGCTGCTGCTGCTGATGCTACTGCTGCTGATGCTGCTGACGATGATGCTACTGCTGCTGATGCTGCTGCTGCTTCTACTGCTGATGTTGCTGCTGATGATGCTACTGCTGCTGCTGCCGCCTCCTGCCCTGTTTTTCCACGAGAGTACACACACGTGGGTGGTTGATGCACAGCAGGTGACGCCTTGTGAACTAAGGCGTCGAGAGTGCCACGGGACCTTTTGTTCTATAGCCAGTATCAAAGTGTGAGAAGTAAGAAGTCTTAACGCTTTCTGGAATTAAAAATGCATGGCGTGGTGGTGTTAAGATGTTCAAACGAAGGCCGACGCGATTTGAAGCTTTCGTGACTGCAGGAATTACTCTGTGGTTCTTTCGATAAAATCACGTTCAAAGAAAATAAATTTAATAATATTATTTAAATTAAATAGTGTTATTTACTTTATTAATTTATTATTTTATTTCATAAAATTATTTTGAGTGAAAGAAAAAAAATCATGTTGTTTAAATTAAATACTATTATTTAATTAAATGATATTGCTTAATTAATTTTATTTAAATTTAAATAATATTATTTAAATTAAATAAATATTACTTAAATTAAATTGAATTATTTAAATTAAATAATGTTATATCCTTAGTTTTTTCGGTAAAATCACGTTGAAGGGAAACAACAAAATACTAATATATATAAAACAATAAAATCTAAATTTAAATAATGTTATTAAATGTATTTTCTTTATTAATATTATTTAATTTAAATAATAACATTTAAGTTATTTTCTTTATTAATTAAATATTATTATTTACATTAAATAATATTATTTAATGTAAATTCTTTTCTACGTGACTTAACCGAAAGAACCATCGCGTTAAGATAGAGACGCCTTAACAAAACCTCTCGTGTTACCGTCTCAAAATAGTTTAAGTTTTTTTGTTTAAACCCCGCTACAATGTTTCAAACTCTTCCACTGTGACACCCGACGCAGCATAGCCCGTGACAGGCGGAGTCTTCACAGCTCCCAGCACGAGACACACACACACGCGAGGTGCCTTCACACATTCACATCTCTCCAAGCGCCCCCAACTCTCTCACTCTCTCTCTTCCCACTTTTATACATCCATCAAAATAACCCCCACACCGCTTTCCCGAAGGCTTTTTCACCTCCCGCTTTCGCTTGCAGCCAATCGCCTTCCCACTTCTCCCCGACGGAATCCCAAATCGCCCCTCCCTGTCAATCAAACTCCGTTTCGACCGCTATCCCCCCCCCCTGCCCTGCCCCCCTTATCCATGTTCGCGTTTCTCCTCCAATCCCTTTAATTCTTGCCGCCTCTAGCCCAGTGGCTCTCCAGCTACTGCTTCTGCTTCTTCTTAAGCCGGGGTGCACGCAAGCCCCTGCGGTGCGAGTTGTCCTTCCTGGGGGTTGCGACACAGTGTATAGTAGTGTATAGTGTAGTGTATAGTAGTGTATAGTAGTGTAGTGTATAGTGTATAGTGTAGTGTATAGTAGTGTAGTGTATAGTAGTGTATAGTAGTGTATAGTGTAGTGTATAGTAGTGTATAGTAGTGTAGTGTATAGTGTAGTGTATAGTAGTGTATAGTAGTGTAGTGTATAGTGTAGTGTATAGTAGTGTATAGTAGTGTAGTGTATAGTGTAGTGTATAGTGTAGTGTATAGTGTAGTGTATTGTAGTGTATAGTGTATAGTAGTGTATAGTAGTGTATAGTGTAGAGTATAGTAGTGTATAGTAGTGTATAGTAGTGTATAGTGTAGTGTATAGTAGTGTATAGTAGTGTATAGTAGTGTATAGTAGTGTATAGTGTAGTGTATAGTAGTGTATAGTAGTGTATAGTAGTGTAGTGTATAGCAGTGTATAGTAGTGTAGTGTATCGTAGTGTAG